GTTGGGGAGTTATTTGTGGGGTGGGGTGGGTGTGAGAAGATCATTACCCCCTCCTCTCCCCAAATTGCCACCGCGGGTCTATCTTGTTTTGTAATCCTTGCGCAAAAAACACCTGCGCTCTTTTCCCCTTGCGGCGAACACCTGGAAGAGCTGGCTGGCCCCCTTGAGGTGAGCTGTCCCACCTCTGCTTTTCTTCTGCTTGCCAAAAACAAAAAAAATCTCGTTTAACACACATCATCGGTATTATTTATTTATTTATAACCCAAACCACAACTCTGGGAAATTAAAAATGAGCGAGTTTGAAAAACCAACCAACCAACCAACCACAAAAAAAAAAAAAGAGGAAAAAAAAAAGAGGCAGAAAATTGGTTTTACAATTTATCTTTTTAAAAGGGGGAGAAAAATACATCTTATTTTTGGATGACCGCAAAGCTGGAAGAGCAACCCATTTGGGTCTTAGGATAACTCGGCGCAGCCAACTCGTTGTGGGCCATGAGTTACACAAACACTGGAGAAACGGTGGAATAGCAATAGCACTTAGACTTATATATGCCGCTTCACAGTGCTTTCCAGCCCTCTTGTAAGTGGTTTAAAGAGTCAGCCCCCCCCCCCCCCCAATCTGGGTCCTCATTTGACCCACCTCGGAAGGACAAAAGGCTGAGTCAACCTGGAGCCTGGTGAGATTCGAACTGGCCAAATTTGCAGGCAGTCGGCAGAAGTAGCCTGCAGTACTGCCCTCTGACCACTGCGCCACCGTGGCTCATGGAATCATTAAAGGGAAGATGCAAAAGGAGGAACAAAATGAAATGGGAACGACAGAAATTAAAACCTGTTTTTAAATTATTTTAAATACTGAAAAATGGTTGAATTGCCCTCCAATGAGTTTTTATCCCACGGTGAATTGGCTGCGCTGAGTTGGCCTCGGCGAGTTGATAGGGCCAAATCGCCCCATTCTGACACATTTTTGGCTTGGCATCTTGGGTTGAAGTCCCAAAGTAGGAAATTACATAAATAAGAGTGGGAAAGCTGGATTCGTTTGCACGGAACGTGCCAAGGGGAGAGCAACGTTCGGAACTGGTTCTCGGACCAGCTGTGAGCCGAGCACAGAGGCAGAAAACGTGGTTATTTTTCAGGATTGATTCTTATCAGTCTTAACTGCCATAAGGGAACAACGGGGGTCCGTTATCCAAAATAAATTCAATATTCCCCATACTATAAAATGCAGAAAGTCTTCAAACAAAGCAGAACGATCTGGGGTGTCTGTTTGTGTGTGTGTGTCAAATAAAATAAGTCTTGAGGAGAACAAACAGCAGAGAAGAAGTTGGTCTCTTGTTACAGAGTTCACTTAAAACACTTTTCCCTTCGTGGGGTTATTTTTGGTTGAAGTGACTGATTCCCATAGATTCCCACTCTGAAAGCATGAGGGCTACGCAGGGCCTCTTACGGGGGAGAAGAATTCGGGAAGTTTTTTTCCCCTTGGATGGGAAACCTCCTGAATCCAAGGCATATTTTGAATTACAGAAGGGAAGAGTGAAAGTACTGGGGGGGGGACAGAAGCACCCAGGAGGTTTGGCTCTCCAATCACTCTCTTAGGAGGGGGGGGGAAACGAACAAAATTGCAAAAATTTTTGCCAGCCGAAGAGAAGATACAAACAATTGGTTAGAATTTAATATATACACTGGAAAGGAATCCTAAAACGGTCGTTCTGCTTACTGCTAAGCCAAAGGGGAAGAAAGGACTCTGAAGGAAGAGTTTTAAAAGTCCTGTGATTTAGCTTCACAAGAGGGGTGGGATTAGTACAGCAAAGCCAGCGAAAACAAAAAAAAATGGGGGGGGGGAGAGACACCCCACCCCAGACACGAGCTAAACCTGGCACCGAGAGTGCAAAATAGCACTAGCCCTTAGATTTATACACCGCTTCACGGTGCTTTTACATCCCCTCTCTCAGCCTCTTTGCCCTCAACCATCTGGCTCCTCATTTGACCCACCTCGGAAGGCGGGAAGGCTGAGCAGACCTTGAGCCGGTGAGAATCGAACTGCTGGCAGATGGCAGAGCTAGCCTGCAAAACTGCATTCGGTGCCACCACGGTAGCAACTCTCCTTAATAAAAAGGCTAAAAGGCAATTAGCAGGAGATGCGGTTGCCGAGTAGGAAAAAAAGGCAACCAAAAAGCCCCTTCCGCTAACTCCCCTTGGCCAGGGGGATCAACTAATGGCAACTTTACGACCGGTGGACTTCAACTCCCAGAATTCCTGGGCCAGCCAGTCCTCCCTTTGCAGAGGACAGTTCTAAGGAAAATACAATTTCTTGGATTGGCGAGGCACAACTTTATACTCTCTATGCTTTAAAAGGCTACGCCTGCAGCTACCGGAAGACTCTTTTAAGACTCCAAAAGACTAAGCAAGTTTCCTTTCCTCTCCTTTGCTCATCATGCCAAAGGAAAAACAACCGCCCAAAATATACGTTTTCTGGGCTGCCACTCTACACAATCACCACTTTTCTTTGGAAAGTTACTGCCGGCTCAGGAATTCTAGGAATTGAAGTCCACAAGTTGCCAAGTTGCCACGGTTGACCGCTCCTGTTCTTAAAATCGCCTGTTTGCGATCTGCTTTTGTGCATCTGGCATCTGCCACCCCAGAGACCTTATCCCAAGGATCTGATCTCATCCAATCTCCCAGGACATACGCAGGATCACCCCACGGTGAGCTACCCCGTTGTAAATTCGAGGGGGAAATGGAGGTGCTATCTTCTTCTTCTTCAGGAGGAAGAGGGGAAGAAAAGGGCCATCCTGGGGGAAAATAGCTCAGTGGCAATAAAACACCTGCGAGGTAAACAAATCCTACTTCAAAGACTAAGAGAGGTTTCTGCAAACATTAGGATGCAAGGATGTAGCTTAAGAATTTTTTTTTTTTTAAAAAATGACTATTTGGCCTTAATTAAAGGCCAGTTGTTTGCCAACCCACACACAAAGTTTAAATAGAATTTTCCCCACTTTATGGTTTAGACCGGGGGTCTCCAAGCTTGACAGCTTTAAGACTTGTGAACTTCAACTCCCAGAATTCCTCCTCCAGTCGTGTTAGCTCAGGGATTCTGGGAGTTGGAGCCCACAAGCCTTTACAGCTGTCAAGTTTGAAGGCCCTTGGTTTAGACTTCCTTGCCAGCAGGGGAGAACATCTGTAGATGAACACATGTACCCTTCACCAAAAGGAAATATTCACAAATGGCAAGAGCAATTTTCTTCCCGTGACCCAAACACCTGAGGCCACGTACAAAAGAATTCTCTGAAAATCAGAGTTTCCCTCCCTTCTACAGCAGGACTAACCCTGGCAATTCTCCTTTTAAGTGCTCATTAGCCAGCAGTGAAATTGACCAGGACATTGACTTAAAAGTCTGGTTAATTTTACTCCAGGGCAAACATTTGTAAAGGCCTCTCTCTCCTTCCCCCCCCAAAAACCGGGAGCACTTTGGTTCAAAACTGAGAGCCACTTAGGTAAGTCAGCAGCGGCCTTTTCCCCCCACAATGGAGACATATTATTCTGTTTTTCCCTCATTCTGTTTCCTCCCACAACACAGTGATTTTGGAGGGGGGGGGAGCCGCTTTATTTTCGATAACAGAAGTTCTTCCCTCGCTGAGGTCCGCTCTGAGCCAAATACAAGCCACAACACATTTTTGGATTGGCGAGGCACAATTTTATACCCTCTATTCGTTAAAAGGCTACACCTGTAGCTACATGGATAAAGACCCTTTTGGGTCCTTCACCTCATCAAAAAGACTAAACAAGCTTCCTTTTCATTGCCCATCATGCCACACAGAAACAAAAACACAAAAAAAACCCAACAACCCTAAAAATATTAGCGGGCCACTCAATCTTTGGAAAACTATTGCCTGGAATTGGAGAGAGAGAGAGAGAGAGAGAGAGAGAGAGAGAGAGAGATCAGTAGTACTTATGAATATTTGATCTTCCAGCTCTTTTTGTAAGAAAGATGACGGATGCTTGGATCTTCCCCAACTTTCCTTGTATGGTTTTTTTCCCCACTTAATGTCATTTTCACTGTTATACAAAGCTGAGCAAGCAGCAGCAGCAGCAGCAGAGATTTGGTTGAATTAAAGACTTGCCCAAACCACTGCTGCCATTTCAGCATCGCTGTTGAATCGAAGGTGGAAATTAAACCCATTTTTCTTCTTTTGTTCCTAACGAGAAAGAGTCGTCTTTTGATACAGACGGGAATGCAATTTTTTTTTTTGTTTTTGTTCTGAATTATTACTCTATCTTTGGTTGGGTGGTGAAACGAAGGGAGAAGCAACCCCAGCAGAGGAGGGCTTAGGATCTGGAACGTAACGTTTGCTAAAAAACGATTGCGAGCTGAAGGCCAGAGAATAAGACAGCGAGTGCCCAAAGCTGCAAACTAAGTCGGCAAGTAGGACCGGTCGAATCAAGCTTTAGGTTGAAGTTCAATGCCATTCTGAAGAAAGTGAAATGTGGAATATATGCTTCTTCTTCTTTTTTTTTCCTTCTTCTCGTTAAGTTTTGAGGTAGGGATATGAGGATTGCATAAGAGGATAAATGTGCAACTATATTATATCTGACAAGAGAGTAACAGGAAATGCAGACCGAGGTATTTAAAAATACTGAAAACCATCAAGGAGATGCCCAGGCACCCTCCAGTGCAAGGCACATGCTGGAAAAAAAACCCAGAAAGGCAACGTCTTACAACAAAGACCTGGGAAGCAGGGCCTCTGGAACTCAGGGCCACATGCGATTGCTGAGGTAAGTCTTATACAAAACATGAAGCGGATCGTGGAGAACAACGCTCCGAGAAAGGCAGCCTAATGTGAAAGGGATCTCGCTTAGGAACCAGCAAAGAACCGAAGCCGGTGGAGCTTTTGAAAGCAATCTGGAATTACAAGGAAGAAGCCGACAATATTTTTTTTTTTAAAAAAAGAAGCCACCTGCATTGGACAGGTGCTGAGAAAGAGCAGCAAACGCAATCGGAGGCATTGCGGCAGAGATCAGCTTAACGCACCTGGGCAGGGAGGGGACCCACGGCAGGCCCCCGTGCGTATGAGGTAAAAAGGAAGGGGCCTGTGGGGATACCCCCAAATGCATGGAGGTGGTGGACCCACCTCGAGAGGATACGAGCAGAGACCGGGGATCAATGAGGTATTCACTGTAATAGACGTAATAAAGACAGTTTCACGCAGGAGACTACGGGGACGTTAAGACAGAGGGGGACAACCTTGTAACTTGCATGAGAGACCCCAGCCGGGGAGGGGAGAGTTAAGGGTGAGAATGGGGACACCACACTTTTGAAAGTCACTGTAATTCCCCCGGATTTAATTTCCCCCACACACACACACACCCGGGTTAAATCAAATTACAGAGTGGGCTTCGCCTCTAAAGGCCTAGAAAATGGGGCAAATCCTGCCACCCCTTCCGAGGGACGTTCCATAGCCCTTGGGAAGATGGGGAGGCTGAACGGGCGGCCTTTGGCCTTCCAGACACGGCCTGTCTCTGAATTAAGAGGAACAGGGTGCGCCAAAGCAGCCTGCAAGAGACAGCGGGCGGGGGTACCCAACCCCTGGGCTGTGCCTGCCGCTATCGGGCCGAGAGCCATACGGAACCAGGCTGCCGAAGCGGTGGGGATGGAAGCAAATGCACCCGCCACGGGAAGAGCATCGGAGCCCTTCGCTCTCTCGCCGTTTCAACCCTGTCCGATTCTCCCGTCCTTTGCCGCCAGGGATGGCCACCCATCCCCGGCGCAAGCCCAGCAGGGACGGCTCCTGGTCAGCCGAGAGGGCAACTCGTGGGGCCTGGTCGGCTTCTCTTTGGCTTACTCGACGGAAGCCAAGGTGGCAGGCCCCGATCCTCGCTTTTAACTTTTGCTCTGTGCCGAGTTCACGCTGGGGAGGCTGCGCGAGGGCGGGAGGTCCATGCCGGGGGATTGCAGGAGGGAGCATCGGGGCTTAAGAGGCGGCGAACCAACCTTGCAGGAAGGAAAAGTGGGCATGAAAATAAAGAGGCTGTTGGGTTACAGTGCCTGCTCACCCACCCCAAAAGAAGGTTATGGGACCACCACCACCCTCTCCCCAAGAAGCCAGGCTGCTGAAATCGGCCCAAAGCAAGGCTGACACCCCCCCCCCTCTGTTTCACCCCACCATTCCTTCCTGCCAAGGTTGGCGTTCTCAGGTGGCAGGTGGGGCTCAGCAGGCACAGGGGCTGCTGGGGGAAAGGGGATTTGCACCCTCGCTACCCAGAAAGGCACCAAGGGCTCGAAAGGAGCCTTTTCCTTGAGCCCGAAAGGCCAAACCACCATCGTCCATCAATAAAGTTTGCTTGTCTCAGAACGGCTGAGATTGAAAAGAAAAGAAAAAGAAAAGAAAGAAACAGGAACGCAGGATGATGAGGGCCTCACTCCTGACCGGTAAGTCTTTGAAAGGAAGAGACCATGGTGGGATGGCTGCTATTGCTAACATCGTTTGGGAAACCCTCTCAAAAGAAAAAAGAAAAAAACAACAGAAAGTCACAGTGAGCCTGTCCTGTTGGGAGGACCCTTCTGAGCGACTCGCGAGATCCGGGACGCAAAGAAACAAACCCTCCAAAGGTCTCGGCTAAATTGGCGGAAAGCTGGAGCTCTTCCCAGTCAGTTTGATTTCCCCACAGGGGAAAGATATGGAAGAAGAAGTTAGTAAGTAGTAGTAGTAGTAGTGAGGCGAAACCGGAGTGCGCCGATTTCGCGGTGTAAACAGTGCCTTCGCGGTGCCCGAGACCCTGAAAACGGCCTCTCGGGGCACTACCTGATTCGTTAAGAGTGGGGAAATGGTCGAGAGCCGAGGTGATCCTGCAAGGAATCCGCGGGTCGGGGACATGGCTCCAAAGGAGAAGAGTCTCGGTTTGCAACGGGCAGGAACTGCCGACGGCGGGAGTTGCAGAGGGAGGGGAGGGGAGGGGAGGGGAGGGGAGAGAAAAGGGGATGTCCTGCCGCACGGACCGAGGAAGACACCAACTTGAAGGGGGCGAGTTGGGCCCTCGCCTGGAACAGGCCCCGACGTCGTCTCCTCCTCCGGAGATGCACGGAGCCAGGCTGAGAAAACTCCCGCACGGTTCCTGATTTAACCAGCAACGTAGAAAATAAAATAAAAAGAGAATACCTGAAATATTCTATTCACTGCAACCTACTTTTCCCTGTCCAGGACTGGGGGCGTAACACAGTTCCAATCCTCCCTCAAGGGTGTTTTTTTTTTTTCTTTCTTTCTTGTTCACTGAAAAGACAACGAGGCCAAGCACCACGGCGGCGGCACCCCCCCTCCCCCTCCCAACGATCCACGTGCCCGGAGCAGCTCCGCTTTTAAGGTCCAGCGCTCTCTCTCTCTCTCTCCTCACTGGAATGCTTGGTGGAAACGTGGCAAAGTGGTGGCGCCCAAGCCCGGGGAGAACACCGAGGGCAAGGGATGCAGCGGCCCGAAGCCGAGCGAGGTCCCGGTTCCCGAGGGGGATTCCTGGGGCGGCAGAGTGGCAAGGAGGGACTGGGCCTCCCCCTGGGAATAACCCATCACTAGGCCCCCCTGGGAGGAGACGGGGGGGTTGCAGGGAGGGAGGTTCAAGGGCAGGAAGCCCAGCAGGTGGGAGAAATCCATGTTAGCAGCACAGAGCGCTTCCGAGAGGAGCGCGGGGCTCTTGGAGAGCAGCGTCTCCTCCAGGCTGGTGGGCTGAGGCGGGGAGCAGGAGGAGGAGGAGGAGGAAGGATCGCCGGCGATCAGCGAAAGGCCTCCGGGCAGCTCGGCCAGGCAGCTGTCCATCTCCACTTTGGGGATTTTGTCGGGGAAGTATGAGGTAGATCCGAGCTGGTACTTTGGGGGAGGCTGGGGAGGGGAGGCGGGTTCCAGAGGGTAGCTCATCCCCATGGGGAGAGGGTTGGGGACTAGCGAGGGGGGCATCCCTGAGCCGGGCATGGCCGGGACGTGCGCTCCGTACATGCCCACGGGGAGCATGCCGGGGAAGCTCTTGCCGCCCATCACCTCCCGGGAGGCCATGCACAGGACGGGGCTGAGCTCCTCCTTCACGGCCACGGCCGAGCTGCAGCTGAGCAGGCCCAGCATGTCCACGGGTTCCGCCTTGATCTTGAGCAGCTCCTGCGAGTGGCTCTTCTTCATGTGCCGGGTCAGGTGGTCCTTCCGGCCGAACCGCTGGGCGCAGTACTGGCACAGGAAGTCCTTCCGGCCCGTGTGCACCACCAGGTGGCGCCGCACGTCCTTGCGGGTGTAGAAGCGCCGGTCGCAGTGGTCGCAGGGGTGCTTCTTCTCCTTGGCGCTGCCCGAGGGCCGGCGGGAGTGGGCCTTGAGGTGCTCCAGCAGCGCCTGGGTGCTCTCGAACGCTTGCAGGCAGACCTTGCAGCTGAGGTCCCCGCTGGCCGCCGCGTGCATGGCCAGGTGGCGCCGGTAGCCCAGCTTGGTGTTGTAGTTCTTGCCACACTCGGGACAGTGGAGGGCTTCCTTGTTGGGGTCGTGGGTTTGGAGGTGGTTGCGCAGGTGGTCCTTCCGGTGGAACATTTTCTCACAATACATGCACTGGTGGGGCTTCTGGGCAGAGTGGGTGGCCAGGTGCCTTTCCGGAGGAGGGGAAACAAAAAGAAACGTGAGAGAGAGAATTGTTTGCAGCTCAGGGGAGTGGAGGAGGATAAGAAGGGGAGGGGGGAGGAGGGAGAGGAGGAGGGAGAAGAAGGAAGAGGAGGAGGGAGG